GGAAGTCTGAGGCAGGTGGATCACCAGTTCAAAGCCAGCCTTACCCATGGCGAAGCGCTTAGCAACTCAGTGAGACCCTGTCTCTAAATAAATTACAAAATAGGGCTGGGGATGTGGCTCAGTGATCCAGTGCCCCTGAGTTCAATCCTTGGTACCAGAAAAACAAACCAAAAAAAAAAAAAAACTTGCTAAAGATCACTAGGGTTGGATTAAAGTACACTTGCTAAAATTTTACATAATTTTTAAAAAACTGAGAAGGGGGGACACTGCAATCTTAGCATTATTATGACCATTTTTATTATGCTTTGTGCATTCACCCTTTTCTGTGTTTCACATTACTTCATTATTATTATAGGTTCACAAAAGTAGGTAAAGAAATATGAACAATTTTATCAAATACCATGCTTTGCTAGGAACAGTGGTACATGCCTGTAATCTCAGTGGCTCAAGAGGCTGAGGGAGGAGGATCGCTATTTCACAAACAGCCTCAGCAACTTAGAGTGACCCTGTCTCTAAAGAAAATATAAAAAGGGCTGGGGATGTGGCTCTGTGATTAAGTGCCTCAGGGTTCAATCCTCAGTACCAAAAACAAAACATGCTTTTTCATTTGTATCATGCTGCCTCCCTAAGACAACACCAGATTTGAGGACAAACAACTTTCCTTCTACCACTAGGGAAAATAACTCAAAATAAAAATAAAACCAGTTATTGAAAAAGAAAACTTTTATGGCTTAAGAGAGCACAGAGCATTAAAATGCTTTGGAGGCAAAACAAGGACGGAATCCTAATTTAACTTCTGATGGTTGTGCTTCTTCCAGCAAACCCCTAATCTTTCTTGCTTAGTTTAAGTTTCAAAAGAGGATAATATTTTGCAGTACTAATGTGAAGATTATAGAAAATGCATGTAAACCATGGTGCCTATCATGCATATCAAATAAAGAAGTCCATGTTCCAGGGAGAACACTGTTAAAAGTATAATGAGTTACATATGGTAGCATTCCCTTTAATAGATAAGCATGAGGTACCTGAGTGAATTTTTTTCTGTTACTGGGGATTGAACTCAGATATACTTTTTATTTTTTGTTTTGAGGTAGGGTCTAAGTTACCCAGACTGTCTTCAAAATTGCAATCCTCCCGCGTCAGCCTCCTAACTAGGTGGGACAGGCATGTGCAACCAAGCCAAGCAAGATGCTCACTGTTTAGCTTTATAATGTTTTGAACAACCAATAAAAAAAAATTAAAAAAAAAAAAAGTTTGAACTTAGAAAACTGAGACAATGGGAACATTTGCTTCCAGACTGAGAGATTACAAATCACATTAAGAATTCAGTTCATAGTGGGAAAGGGAGCGGAACATGGGAGGAATAGACGAACTGTAGATAGGGCCAAGGGGTTGGAGGGGAAAGGAAGGGGCATGGGGTTATAAATGATGGTGGAATGTGATGGACATTGTTATCCAAAATACAGGTATAAAGACACGAATTGTTGTGAATATACTTTGTATACAAACAGAGATATGAAAAATTGTGCTCTATATGTGTAATAAGAATTGTAATGCATTCTGCTGTCATATATTAAAAAAAAAGAATTCAGTAAAATAAAAAAAAAAAACATTGACAACATGATATGCTGAATTCATGTCAATTAACTTGATGGGAACCAAGAAAAGTATGGCTGAGGAAGAATGTATTTAAGCTAAGCCTTGAAGAGTACAAACCCTCAAGTAAATGGTAGGGGTAAGGTAGGAGACTCCAGCAGAAGACCTGCACATGCAAGGCAGGTAATTCAGTAGGACTAGTCCAGGAAGAAGCAGACCAGAAACAGGCTATAAAGGTCTTTTTAATATCTGCAAAATAGGTTAATGGTTTTCACATTTTTCATCTTACCACCTCTGGCAGCACTGTAAAGAATGGGTTAGAGAGTGGGCAACCAGTTAAGCAGTTACTGCAATATATTTGCAAGAGCACTAAGAGTCTGAATAGTTGGCATAAAGGGAAGGAAGTCAGAATCTGATTCATTTTCTAAAAAAATTATATTGAGGGCTGGGTTTGTGGCTCAGTGATAGAGCACTCGCCTAGCATGTGCAAGGCCCTGGGTTTGATCAACAGCATCACATAAAAATAAATAAATAAATAAAATAAAGGTATTGTGTCCAACTATAAATAAAAAATAAACATCTTAAAAAATTACACTAAGATAAAATTCACATAACATAAAATTCACATTAAAAGCTGGGTGTGGTGGCGCATACCTGTAATCCCAGCAGTTAAGGAAGCTGAGGCAGGAGGATCACCGATCAAAGCTAGCCTCAGCAAAAAATAAGGTGCTAAGCAACTCAGTGAGTCTCTGTCTCTAATAAAATACAAAATAGGGCTGGGGATGTGACTCAATGGTCGAGTGCCCAAGTTCTATCCCTGGTACCCCTCCCCCAAATAAATAAATCACATTAACTATTTAAAAATTTTAAAACTCAATGTTGCTTCCTTTTTAATAATAATTTATTTCCTGCTGGACACTTCTGCTTCTAGTTCAGTGAGACAGTAAATGAATAAACATAATTTCACTGGTAGAAATCCCCACCTTGGGGCTGGAGATGTTGCTCAATTGTAGAGCATTTGCCCAACATGCACTAAGGCCCTGGGTTCAACCCCAGTACTACCAAACAAACAAAGAAAAAAACCCTTCACCTATTTATTTAAAGTGAGTAAAATGGGTGCTGTGGCACATGCCTGTAATCCCAGCAACTTTGGAGGTTGAAGCAGCAGGATATCAGGTTCAAAGAAAGCCTTAGCAACTTAGTGAGGTGCTAAGCATCTTAACAAGACTCTGTCTCTAAATAAAATTTAAAAAATGGGTTGGAGGAGCTGAGATTGTGGCTCAGTGGCAGAGCACTTGCCTCACACATGTGAGGCACTGGGTTGAATACTCAGCACCACATAAAAATGAATAAACAAAATAAAGATATTGTGTCCATGTATAACTAAAAAATATTTTTAAAAATGGGTTGGGGGTGCTGGGGTTGTGGCTCAGCAGTAGAGTGCTTGCCTAGCACGTGTGAGGTGCTGGGTTCGATCCTCAGCACCACATAAAAATAAATAAAAATATGGGCTGGGGTTGTTGCTCAGTGGTAGAGCACTCGCCTAGCATGTGCAGGGCCCTTGGTTCGATCCTCAGCACCACATAAAAATAAATAAATAAAATAAAGGTATTGTGTCCAACTACAACTAAAAAAATATTATAAAAATATATGCTAGGGATGTGGCTTAGTGGTTAAGTGTTCCTGGGTTCAATCCCCAGTAACAACAACAACAAAAAAATAAGAGGCCATTGCAGAAATTTAGACAATTCCAGTATATAAGGTAAATACTGAAATATTTCCCTCATCAACACTAGCAACTGCCCAGAGTTAGGAATGATTGAGTACCATTACAGAGGTCATTCTTACATAGGCATATATACATACTTACATATATTAAAAAAATAAAACAAGGATTCTAGCATATAATATTATGAACTGCTCTCCATCTTGTTTTCCACATAAGAATGGCTAAGAAGCACATCAGTTGGGTGTGGTGACACACACCTGTAAGCCCAGTGACTCGGGAGGATGAGGCAGGAAGATTATAAGTACCAGGGCAGCCTCAGAAAATTAGCCAGCGAGGCCCTTAGCAATTTAGTGAGACCTTGTTTCAAAGTAAAAAATTGCCAGGCACCAGTGGCACACACCTGTAATCCCTGAGGCTTGTGAGTCTGAAGGAGGAGGACCGAGAGTTCCAAGCCAGCCTAGCAATTTAGCCAAACCCTAAGAAACTTAGCCACACTGTGTCTCAAAATAAAACATAAAAAGGGCTGGGGAGGGGCTGAGGTTGTAGCTCAGTGGTAGAGCGCTTGCCTAGCATGTGTGAGGTACTGGGTTCAATCCCAGCACCACATATAAATAAATAAAACAAAGGTACTGTGTCCATCTACATGTAAGAAAAAAAAAATAATATATATATATATATATATATATATGGCTGGGGATGTGTTGCTCAGTGGTTAATCACCCCTGTGTTCGATCTCTGATATGTGTGTGTGTGTGTGTGTGTATGTATATATATATATATATATATATATATATATACACACATACACACACACACACACACACATACACACACGGCTCTACATCACAAATATTTCAAAACATAATGTTAAAATTCATATGTTGCTATTTTTCAATTGTGAGTAAAGTTCTGTATCTTCTCCACTTCCTAAAGCTTTTAAATTCCACAAAGAGGGGTCTTAATTCTGTTCATTTACATATACCACGTGCTTAGAACAGTGCATACATAGTATGCTTATTATTTTTTGCATGACTGAGTATTTGGATAGTGTAATAAACCGAGCCTAATTTCACTCTGGCTAATTTTCACATTCCTGAAATGAAAATGACACAAAAGAATTGTTATACATGTACAAGGGAATTACATTTAGGCTGGCACCCATCTGTAATTCCAGAGACTCGGTAGGCAGAAGTAGGAGGATCACAAGTTTGACGCCATCCTCAGCAACTTAGCGAAACCATGTCTCAAAAGGGTTGGGAATGTAGCTCAGTGGTTAAGCACCTCTGGGTTCAAACCCCGGTACCAAAAAAAAAAAAAAAAAAAGGAAGTTACATTTGCCTACAACGGAAAGACTTATATTCTACCCTCTGGTTCTAAAATCGAACTCCCTAACCCCAACACTCGATAGGGCCCAAACTCAAAAGAAGTGTCTAAAGTTGTAGTTATATACATACATAGGCATAGAGAAGCCAGGTTGTCACCTACTGCATCCCACTGTTAGATTAAACCCCCAGAAAACAAAGCGTTACAGTTTCTGAAAACCGCGGAATTGAAGACACTAAAAGGCACAGAAACTGGCGGGGAAAGAGGGACAGGAAGGAGTGAACAGATCCTTTTATGCCCTACACATTTTTTTTGGGGGGGGGGACCCGATTGCTGGAAGCCGCGTTCTCACCTCCTTCTTTCTTTGAGCAGAGGCCGCGGGAACCTTGTAAATGAGCAGCAGCGCCACAACCACGGTCACAGAGACACACCAAAACCATCTACAGGCTGCCATGTTCGCTTGTCTCCCCACTGTAAGCGAAACTTTCCTCTGGCAGGATCTGAGGGTGGGGCGTGAGAAAAGGCAAGCCGTCCCCTTGCCTTTCCTCATTGGTTTAGCTCAGCCCTGCGGGGCGACCCCTCACATTACGTCACAGTGGGCAGCTGCTAGACGCCCGCTAAAAAACAGTTCGCTTCTAATTGGTCCTCGTTAGCCAATAGAAAAAGGCTCATCTGGAAGCTTTTCATTGGTCGGCTAAAAATGATGGCCTGCCCTTTCATTATGCATGAAGGTGTCGCACTTCCCAGCGCCTAAAGCCTGAAGCACGCTGCACGCTTGCGCAGTTGGGAATCATTGCAGATGAAGAGTCTAAAATGGCATGAAGCAGCTAAACGGATTCTTTATTCTGAAAACTTATTTAGAAGTCCTCGAAATTCACTTCTTTCGTTTAATATTCTAGAAGAACGGGACATGTGAATAATAGGCACTTAGTCCCTTATCCTCCAAATTACTTTAAAGTGAAGAAAATAAGTAAAAGTAGGAAAGCAAAAACAGTAGAGCTGAGTTTTTTTTTTTTTAACTAAAGTAAATGTAAATAGGAGTTTCTTTAACCCAGCAGACGTGACGCGTTGTCGTCCTGGAGCGTTTTCTGCGTGGCAGTGTACGCACGGTTCAGGAGGATTCTAGATTTTCCCTCCTTGAGCTCAGTGCCCAAACTGGCCGCCTCCACACTCAAAACAGGTTTCATAGGTTCGGAGGTGTTTCTGTTTGGGTGGTGGGTAGGTAAAATGCCCAACTCTAAAAATTTTAAAGAAGGGAAGGGATCCTTATTTTAATGTTAAGGTGGTATTCTCAGTCCCAAACCCAGACTGATGTGTGAGGTTTCAGACATAAGGCACACGTCCTTTCTCCTCGCTGCCGCATTTGCTTTACTTCCTTGGTACCTAAGAATTTAAGACTCAAGGGCAGAAAGCAAACGATAGATTATTGAACAATCATGCCCTAGGTTTTATTCCCAATCTTCAAGGTACTGTGTTTAAATTCCCAGTTTAGCTCTGAATTCCCAGAAGCTCTCAACACTCCTAGGGCTAAGAGCTGCTGCCATTGCGACCCTGCTAGGTGTTTCTTCACCATCCCTTGGGATGATAATTCCTCTCGTCCACTGCTGGGTCACGGCGCTCCCCGCCCCGCTCCTCAGTGTCTCACTCTGACATTTACCAAACGTCTGAGCTCCCTCAGGGACTACAAAATTAATTTCAGCAGTTTTGCTGTGAACCAAACAAAAACACAAAGACAAGCCACCCTGTGGTCCAGACTGTAAAATGCGACCCAGAGCATGTTGGCAAGATTGCAGAAGGACCTTCCTCTCTGGGCATGATGTGCGGGTGGATACTGCACCTGGTCCTCTTTCTCTGCTGGGTCATAGGGACCACAGTAATGGTCAGAGGGTGGGAAGGGTCAGGACGTCGAATTGCTGGGTTGTATGACACAAGGAGGGGAATGACGATCTTCAAGTCCAGTCTTCCTCTGTTCTACAAAGTAGAGTGGTGATTTGTGTGCAAAGATTGAAATTTTAAAATGTTAAAAAATTACTAAAATTCAATATTGTTATTAATTTTAATTGAAAAAAAGTTTGAATACCTTTGTGTCCCAGAAACTGCCAGGAACAGTGAAAAAGAATATTAAAAAATTATTTTTTAGGGGCTGGGGTTGTGGCTCAGAGGTAGACCACTGACCTAGCATGCGTGAGGCACTGGGTTCGATCCTCAGCACCACATAAAAATAAAATATATTGTGCACACCTATAACTAAAAAATAAATATTTAAAAATTGTTAAAATTATTTTTAAAAGTTTTTGTGTATTCATTGCTTTTTTTTTCTAGTTGAACTCCTTGATTTACTACTTAAAACAATAACATGGACTTAATAGACAGCAAATGCCTTATTTTTTATTTATTATTTTGTTTGGGAGATGGATGTGAATGTGTTTGCAGATAAACCCTTTCTATTTTTTTTCCTTTGGCCTAAACGCGACAGAAATTTATTTCTTATTCAGCCCCCAAAATACGTAGCTTTCTTCAAAGAGGTTCATGATAAACATTTAAAGAAATGGAAACACTAATCACCCTGATTTGATCCTTACACATTGTATATGTGAATCAAGTTATCACACTGTTTCTCATAAATATGTCAATTTTTAAAATTAAAGAATATTAGAAAAAAAGAAGTTATTCAAATACCTAGGGTCCTGCTGTCTTTTGAAAATTTTGTTCTTTTTAGTTATACATGACAGAAGATTATATTTTGATATATCATACATACATGGAGTATAACTTCCCACTCTGTGGTTGTACATGATGTGGAGTTATACTGGTTGTATATTCATTCATGAACATAGGAAAACTATGTCTGATTCATTCTATTGTCTTTCCCATTCCCATCACCCCTCCTTTCCTCCTATTCCCCTCTGTTCAATCAGGTGAACCTACACACACACACACACACACACACACACACACACTATTGTGAGTCACCATCCACATATCAGACAGAAAGAACATTTGGCCTTTGGTTTGGGGGATTGGTTTATTTCACTTAGCATGATATTCTCCAGTTCTATCCATTTTCCAGCAAATTCCATAATTTCATTCTTCCGTATGGCTGAGTAATATTTCATTGTTTATATGTATCACAATCCTTTTCTTCTTTTTAAATCTTTTGTGGTTATAAATTTCATTAAACAAAGCGGTAACACGCTCGCCTGGCATGCGCGGGGCGCTGGGTTTGATCCTCAGAACCACATAAAATAAAATAAAGATGTTGTGTCCACCAAAAACTGAAAAATAAATATAAAAAAAATAACAGAAATCCTGGGGTTGGAGTTGTGGCGCAGTGGTAGAGCACTTGCCTAGCATGTATGGGGTGCTGGGTTCAATCCTCAGCACCACATAAAAATAAAATGAAGGTATTGTGTGCAACTACAACTAAAACAAAATACTAAAAAAAATTAAAATAATGAAAATCCTACACTACTGAAGAATTTTCCATTTATTTGGTGCAGTTCTGCTTTATTACATTGGTTTGTAAAACTAGGATGATTTCACTAGAGAAGGAAAAACAGTAGCAAAATAATATCAATGTCATTCAGGTTTTTTTTTTCTTTTTGGGGTGTTGGGGATCAAAACTAGGGCGTGTCCAGGCGTGGTGGTGCATGCCTGTAATCCCAGGAGCTGGGGAGGCTGAGTCAGGAGGATTGCGAGTTCAAAGCCAGTCTCAGCAAAAGTGAGGTGCTAAGCAAGTCAGTGAGACCCTGTCTCTAAATAAAAACACAAAACAGGGCTGAGGATGTGGCTCAGTGGTTGTGTGACCCTGAGTTCAATCCCCAGTACCAAAAAAAGAAAAGAAAAAAAAGAAAGAAATAAAAAGAAAAAGAAAGAAAAGAGTAAAATAAAAAAATCAAAATCAGGGCCTGCCTTGTGTGTGCTAAATATATGCTCAGCTATTCAGCTACACCTCCAGTCATGTAAATTTAAAAAATAAAAATTATGGACTGGGGAATAGCTCAGAGATAAAGTAAGTACTTAGCATGTGCAAGTCCAGGGGACCAATTCTCAGTGCTAAAATATAAAATAATAATGAAGAGTAAATTTTTAAAGTTTTAAAGGGTATCCATCTATCATATTGACAATATCCAAAAGTTTGACAATGTGTGCTGTCAGCAAAGCATGGGGATGTGGAAAACATAAACCCTATACATTGCTGGTGGGAATGTAAAGTGGTGCAACATCTATGGAGTATTATTTGACAATGTTGAACAAAACTGCATATGAATTTAACTTTTGATCCAGCAATCCCACTTCTTGGAATCTAGCCTTATTCATTTCAGCATTATTCATAATGGAGATATTCTTTTTTTTTTTAAAGAGGAGAGGGGGGGAGAGAGAGGGGGGATTTTTTTTAATATTTATTTTTCAGTTCTCAGCAGACACAACATCTTTGTTTGTATGTGGTTCTGAGGATCGAACCCGGGCCGCTCGCATGCCAGGCAAGCGCGCTACTGCTTGAGCCACATCCCCAGCCCCTGGGGATATTCTTTTTCAAATATTTATTTACTTATTTTTATGTGGTGCTGAGGATCGAACCCAGTGCCTCACATGTGAGAGGGAGGTGCTCTGTCACTGAGCTCAGTTCTTGAAATATTCTTGAAACAACCTAAATATTCAAACAGTTGGTACAGATTGAATGTACTATAACACATATACACCACAGAGTATTTTACATCTATAAAAAAGGAATAAGTAAGACCCATATAAATTCATAATGGATTTTATGCTTTATTTTTTGTACAAAAAAGGGCGAAAACAAAATACATGTGTATTTGCTCATTTTTGCAAAAGGAAACATAGGAACTAATGAAATTAGTTAATTGCAGGAGATGGAGGAAGTGGAGTGGAACAGTTGGAAAGGGAATGCATTTCTTTAAGTACACCAGTTTGTACAGTTTGACTTTTGAAATAATGTTAATGTTTTAAATTTACAAAACATAGCTTGGTATGGTGGTACATACCTGTAATCCCAGCAGTTTAGGCTGAGGTAGTAGGATCACAAGTTCCAGGACTGTCTCATCAATTTAGGGAGACCATCTAAAAATAAAAAAAAAAAATAAAACTATTTGGAGATGTATCTCAGTAGTAAAGCACCCCTGGGTTCAATTCCCATTACCTCAAAAATAGACAAATAAACAATCCAAATGTAAAATCAGGTTAGTTGTACAAGATGAAAAAAATCCTGTAGATAGATGGGATGATTGTTGAACAACAATAAGAATGTACCTAATGTCATTTAACTGTACACTGAAGGTAAATTTTATGTTATATATATATATATATATATATATATATATATATATATATATATATTTAACCAAAAATTTAAAAAATGGAAAATTAAATTTAAAAATCAGGGCTGGGCCAGGTGCAGTGACACACACCTTAATCCTGGTGAGTCAGGAGGCTGAGACAGAGGGATTCCAAATTCAGTGCCAGCCTCAGCAACTTGGTGAGGCCCTGTGCAATTTAGTGATAACCTGCCTCAAAATAAAAAAAAAGTGA